AAAAATGTAAGGAGTAGAAAGTACAGATATTTGTGTAAAAATGTAAGGAGTAGAAGTAAAAAGTCGCCATAAAAATAAGTAGTAAAGTAAAAATATCAGAAAAATCTACTTGAGTACAGTAACGAAGTATTTGTACTTTGTTACTTCCCTTCTTGCTGCAAGGCAATATTACAACCCTTTTTACCACCGTGTAGCCCAATCATATAATTTTCCCACATCAAATCAGATTAAATGGTACTAGTTCTCAGTACTTAAGCAGCCTTTTTAACTAAGACCTACCAGCGTCATTTTTTGGATGACTAATTTTCTCTTCTGCATGTAAAAAAACAAACTGAAATGGTGCTTCTGTTATTAAAACGCAACAGTTAGCTCCTTTAGCACCAGTGAAAGTTCTATTTGAATATAGTTGCCATTTAAATTATTCCTCCAAAATGTATTATAATACAGCACTGGTGAACCAGAGCAAACACAGGAAACTCTCTGCCACATCACTACAGTACAACTGCCTGCAACCAATCTCAATAAGAGTTTTATGCTACATATAACCTCTGACTTGAAGAGTCCTTTTCCGTTTTGTTTCCGTCTATCTTTTATTGTGCAGTCAGGTTTATAAATACCGCCTTTGATCTCACCAATTTAACACTTGTAATTTTTTTAACAAGAAACATCAATGTATAATAAAGGACCATAAAACCTGAAAGTGTTTGCTGCAAAGATTTTCTAAGTGATTGAAAATCTATAAAACATGACTGTTATGCGATTACATAAATGGAATAAATGTTTATTAAATCATATATCCAGCTGTATACAAAACCAATTTAACGTTGAATTGTTCAAGTCTATACTAGTTTGAAAGTTTGGGCATTTTGTACTGAAAAAAGGAGATGAGACAGTCCAAAATTAACCATGTCAATGAAGGAATCTTATAGCAGTTGTCAGCTTTATTAGCCATCCATGAAGTATGGCAGCATCTTAATGTGCACAGTGCAGAGAGGGGCACAACTTTTCATATAGTAAGAAAAGGGGGAAAAAAATAAAAATAAAAATCACAAAAAACATGTTGGGAAATGTTGACTTGTTTGCGCCCCCAAAGCAACTGAACCCTGGTTGGTGAGCCACATCAGATTTAGCTACCTCCCAGTGATAGAGTATTAACTGCACCGTTTGAAAAAAAAAAAAAAAAAAAGAGGAGTGTTATAAAAAAAAAAATAAATGTGCCACCACTGTTTCATTAATTGGGAAGACACTGAAGTTTCTGAAGAGATGCCAAATTCACCAAACATTCAAAAACTAAAGATGATGCAAGACAATTTCATGCATCACAGGCTGGTTGAGCATATCGTTTATCTGACATTGTCAAAGACCATAGAACTTGAGCAAATTAGGCTTCATTTCAGATAAAACGGTTGAAATAAGAAGCGCATAATGCATCGTCTGAAGACAAAAGCCCTACCTTGGCTGCTCATTGCATTGTGCCACATTTTCCTCTCAAATCAACAGAGCAGTAGTGGATCTAACGAGGTTTCTAGCTGTCTGTGACAATCTGAGACAGAGCCCTAGTCTCCCCTCCACCCCTCGTTTCCTCAAGACTCCTGAACTGTGTCATGTGACCAGTTTAACCATCCCCCAATCTTACTACAGTCTAAGACATCCTGTAAAACTTTGATACTTTGCATCATCAAACATGACTGAACTTTTTAGTTTAGGTAAAACTTAAACAGCTCCTGGCAAATGTTTGAATTGAGGCGAATGTGGTACCGAGGGAAACATTTCACAGCGTGGAAACTCAGGCATTTGTTTTTGATAATGCACCACTTTTGCTACATACATCAATGATGAGCTGAATCATGAACCATATCCTGTTCTGGCTCATTTTAAAGTTTTTAAATTGTGCTTTAAATTCTTTGTTAATCTAACTAAACAAGAAGCATTTAAACAATGCCGGTTTAAACTGTTTTAATACATAAAACATTTCCCCCTTTTTTACTTTGCAATCACAGACTTTAAATTGAAATTTAGTTTTAGTTAGTTCAGTGCATGATTGTGAAAAGGAAACTTTTATTTATATATATCTTCAAAGAAGGGTAATTTGGATATGTAATATATTAAAACTGCGGAAAAGAAAAGCAACAAGTACAAGTCTTCTTCACCAGGTCCCTCTCAGCTTTGCAGATCTGGAGACTGAAATGTTTGCCCCATCCCATTAATTAGGTCTTGATTTTAAATTAGCCTTTTGAGCACCCTAATATGCAATGGTCTGAACGATTTTATTGTAGTTCTGGCTGTATGTCTATGGCTGTCCTGTAGGAACATGGAGCTCCAATTTTTTGCAGCGCCTGTCCCTGCTGAAGAAAAGCATCCATTCTGCTGCCAAGACCGTGTTTCGCCACCAAGACTGTATGGTCATGGTGACAGGCAGTGCAAGTTTTTTTGTGGTTATTTTAAATATCATGTTGCAATTTGCTGTTAGGCCTGTAAATTACTTTGGTGTCATCTGACTAGAGCACCATCTTCAAGATGTTTTGCTGTGTCCTCCACATGTTTGTTGTAAACTCACCTAACTTTCTCTCAAATAACTTGTATTGCAACCTTTTTACAAAAGTGAAAAATTGTGGAGTGCATGAGTAATAGATGTTCTGTGAGCAGATTCTCTCACTGAACTGTGTATCTCTACTGCTCCACTAAGGTTATGTCTCTTGACTTAAAGGGTAGAGCATCCAAAGACTTTACCCAAATGAGTGTAACAATACTTTAATATTTTTGTTTACTTTAATAAAGTTGAAATAAAAAAGCACTTGGTAAAAACTATTGGCTCATAGCATTTGATTTGTTTAAAGTCACGTAATTAGACAAATGTGCAAAAATTATAAAATATAACACAAATTACAACTATATGGGCAGAAGAACCAATTTTTTTTGGAATTTACAGTCAGTCATGTATAAATGTTAGGAAAGGATAAATAGCTTCAAGCAGCCATACAGTATCTACCGTTTACTGTATTTTCAACTAATCACAAATAGCTCAAGTTACTCTAGCCAAGTTGATTAACCAGACATTTTACTCAAGAGCAGCAATACTCAAAATATTGCTCAAGTAAAAGTAAATAGAAAAGTATAACTATTTGTAAAACTATTCTTTTTCTTAAAGTGACTCTGGTAAAAGCAAATGATTTCTACAAACTCTGTTCTTGAATGCATCCACATGTTCTCCTCACTCAGAATAAGAATACCTGTAGAAAAGCGTTGGTAGGTTTGCAGTTGTGCTTTCATTCTGTACACTTTAGTCTACCAGTTTTCCAATGATTAAAAAAGCTTAACAATGGGTTCCTCTGTCTTATACAGATTTTGTTTCCTAATGTCCTCTAACCAGCCTCAGAGGCACAGAACAGCTGCCTGTCAATATTTTGAAATATCACCAAGCCCTTTAAACCAGAATTTTTTTTTCAAAAATTTGACAGAAAATTTTAAAAAGCTTGAAGTATTGTATCTTTTTCCTCCAAACTCCATTTTCTGCTACTTTTTGCTGGTTATCACATAAATTAGAAAATTCATTGAGGTTTTTGCTTCAGATTATTTGAAATCTAAAACAGAAAACCTTTAAAGTTGCAAATACTTTTGTACTTTTCAGACACCGATCGTTTTTTTAGTAGAGCAGGACAGTGTTTCAGATTAGAAATCAGGATCAGCATTAAGACCCAGTTAAAAAAAAATTGTTAATAGATCTTATCTACACATTTATAAAAGATGAGAATAAAGGAAAAGTAATAACTAGCTAAATCATGACTTATTCCAAACCTGTGGCTCTTGATGCCAATTTTGACATCTGCTTTTCACAACAGTCCATCCAGTCCAAAGGAATAAGCCCAATGCCAGAATAAGTGCAGCACAGAAGTGAAAACATGCTATTGTCTTACCTGGGCCTTTTATACTGTTCCCCCGTGCAGGTGGCTGACTTGTTCTTCCATACTACAGTAGAAGAAACACAAAAGAAAATTAAACAGCTGGACCTGAGTGAGTTTTTACTCCTCAAAAGTGGTTGCATTTTTTCCACAGTGGGAAATTTCCAGTGAGTAGATAGAAGATGAGCCTGAGTCATAACTGGCAGCAAACCCGCTAAGACACAATAAAATGGAGAAAGAAAAAGAAAAAAATGAAAAAGCAGTGATTATGCACCACTTTCAAACAAATATTATGATCAAACATGCCCAAGATTTCATGATGAAACAGGATGTTTTCAGTCGACGTACAAAAAAAAGCAAAAAAAAAAAAGCAACACATCTGTATCTTTTTTCCCTGGTTGTCATTTACTCACTTGCAGACTGTCCGTTGGTGGCAAAACCATGACAAAGTTGTCAGGAAAGAAGCCGCGGCGGCCTTTCAGCTCCCCCTCCCACCAGCCTTCATCTTCCGTTTCCTTCAGAAGATTAAAGCGTCACATTAGAGCAACCAAACTGGGGCTGTCCTTTGGGAGGTTAAATTGCTGCACAGAAGGTTTCCAAAAGGTCAAACTAATCCAACTTCCTTGTTTTCATTTTTATAGGGGCACACCCCAATGTTTAAAGTTTGTGACTTGAAAAGTGTGTTTAAAAAATAAAAATAACTAGACCAAAGTAAAACTTTCTGGTTTTAATATTAGACAATCAGGTTGAAGTTGTATCCTTTTAAGTATCTGAGACAGACTTTAATTTTTTAGTGTTTTAAGTGTCAGATTGGCTCTTGCTTGCAGTGATCTGTTTTTTGTTTCCCAAAAAAAAAAACAAGTTTCAAACAGTTATATAAAAAAACAAAACACCTCTTCTTTAACATTAACCACTTGAAAACAAGCAAATGGTGTTACTGCACTAAAAATTTCAGTTTCAGTGTCCTAAGTGAAAGCAAAGGTATTAGTTTGCATCACGATTTATATTTTTATCCAATTATACACAAATGTTCTTTTTAGTATACATTTTTTCATAAAGACTTCCCATATTATAAGCAGGCGACTAAATAAACTGGATTACTAATTGCCTTTAGTTTTTTATGTCATAAAAAGGTTTAAATTGCTGATATGTCTGTATTAAATGATTGTGGAACTACCTTCTATTTCAGGCATCAAAGTTACCAAATCTGGTTCTAATGAAATATACCCTGGAGGAGAATTTGTTTCTCTTTATGTTTTGATGATTATAGTTTGGAAATGGGTGTTTGGTTTGCTTTGAATTTAACCAGTCTCATTAATGTGTATTTGATTCAATCTACTGGACTTTGTTTCCAAGTTTGAAGATGTTCCGCGTTGAGTTTGAGGTTTTATAGAGTAGCCACATTAAACCTTCCTTACATTTTGAATTGAAAAATCTTTCTGGAGGGGAAGCCTGTCTTCAACTTGGAAACTCCAGTGCAGTGGATTTGTTTTTAATTTTCTTTTTTTGGAATGACTATGATTAATTTGATCACTTCCTTTTTAGTATTTATTAGGAAATGTGATGCCTTAATGTAAAAGTAGTGGGATTAAGGTGATACATTTTGAAAGGTTATTAGAAGGAATACTAGCGGAAACAGTTTTGCTCTTGCTTTATCCAGCTGTATTGAACTTTTTTTTTTTTTGGGGGGGGGGGGATTTTTGTATTGTGAGAAGTCCCCTGCCTACGTCTGAACATACCCTAAACATGCAATATTTGTTCAGAGATGCTAGATTTCCTCGAAAGTGGAAAAAAAAAACAAAAAAAAACAGGTTTGTCCAGTTGAACGATACAAGTTATTAAACACAACAGCTACTGCAAAAAGTGCACCACAGAAGTAAGGACTGCCTGTAAGAAGGGAAACACAATGTGGGGAAATTCTTCCAAGAAAGGCCAGAGTGTTCAAACCTTGTTCAGTATGGCTACAACGTCACCCTTCTTCATTTCCAACTCATCCGCTGCTTTGGCCTTATAGTCAAACATGACCTGGCAATACTCCACACCTTGGAGAGAAAGAGGAAGAGATAACATGATCACTAATCTTTAAAAGATCAGTGGAGCATCTTAAACATGACTGGAAATGAAGGTTTCAAGACTGATGACTAATTCCATTCCAGGGAAATGACAGTGATCAACTGCAGATGAACGCAGTCAACCTTCAACCTCAGATATTCTGCTCTGTCAGATTCTGACAAATCAAGGCATGACCCCACCTACTGTAGGCCACACAGATGAGAGAGCAGCCATTGTCAAAGTTTTTGTCAGGCTAAAAATAAACTGGACAAACTGCTTTCAAATGCTGTTTTTAAAATAGAACGTGTGTTAGCTGTGTTTAAGGACAAACAAAAGCCTTCATGCAGCTGGTAAGACATAAGAAGGGTGGGAACTCACTGTTCCTTGTCTTGTTTCTCACACTGGCTCGCTGAGATATCTTCAAAGGAGGTAAAAGTGGAGAATTATTAACAGGACAGTTCATAAAAGTCGGAGTGATCTCATTTGCTATGGTCATACCTCCTTGGTGAACATGGCATCAGACAGTTTAGGCCTGGCTTTGCCCTCGTTTTGCTTTGCATCTGTTGGTAAAAAATATCCAAGTAAGATTTGGAGTATTGCTCTAAAGAAAAAGCAAATTCCTTAGCCACCAACCTTTGGGCGAAACAAAAATTTCTTTAACAAAATTGGAGGGAAATGCTCCAACTTTGCCTTGTTTTAGGCCCATCCACCATCCATCTTCAATCTGACAGATAAACAGAAACATATTGACCAGGTACCTAATGATGAATATCATGTTTCCATTCCAGAGATCATATCTGTCTGCATGGTTGTCTGAATATCAGAACTGCTTAGACCAGCAAAAATGTGGTTTGCAAGAACGACAAAAAATGTAATTGCCAATGGATAAAATTATTAATAAAGCACAATACTGAACATTATGTTAATGTGATACATTTTTTTTTCCTTTGAGTGATGTTTTTATCTATTGGAGTAATTATTTTAGGATCTAGTTATTTACTCTTGGCTCAAGATCCTGGCTCTTTTTCTGGGGCACCACATGATAATTAAAGATCTGGGAAATGTAATTTCCACTGCAAAAAAATAGAAATAAAATCTTTCCTTTCAGACTAGAAGCACTTGGTTAAATGAGCTAAAATGCAGCCATGAAATGAGAAATAAGATGTCTGTTTACCTCTCTAATGATCTCCAGAATTTCTCCAACCACCAGCTCCAACTCATCTTCATTTTGGGGACTGTATGGGAAGGCGACCTCACATTTCCTTGTCTGCACTCCCTTTTTTGCTAAGAAAAACAAAAACACATCAATAATACAAAAAAAAAAAAAAAGGACAAAAAAGAAAAATCTGAGGTTTGTTTACTCTGATGCGGCTTCATCTATTCACAGATAGCTTACTGCCATGTCCGTTTAAGCCTGCTAACCACTAACCACATTCTTTAACACTTTTTTTTTTTTTAGATAAATTTTCTTGTTTCTTTTTGGTTTATTTCTAGTCTTTGTCAAATCAGTTAATGTTTCAGTGCAGACACAAAGGCTTCGTTCCATTGTTACTGAGGTCCGGTGGAGTTATCAAAATAATTTTTGATTTTGTAAAAGGAGGTTATGCGATAGTGAGTTTCGGTTAATAAATCCTGAGAGTAGCAAAAGGCCAACAGAACAGGATCAAGTTTTGGCTGATTTTAGATGTTTAAAATAATTCCCATCAGTGGATTATAATGGCAAATTAGAGAATAATAAATATCCCAAACTCATAGACAACCATTGTCATGTGTAGATATTAGACTGCTTTCCCTGCCCGTCTGTATTATAATTAGAGCCTGGGGCTGTTGGCTCCACAGTCAGCCTGATCAGCTGATCAACAGCAGGCTAACCATGGATATTTTCCAAACACAAATCTATTACAGCACAGGAATGTTCCATCCTCAATACCTTTGTATTTGACTGACCAGACTTGGCTGATAAGGGTGCATTAGCCTCAATCCATCTTATTTAATGTGGATTAACATTAAAGTTTTTTTTTTGACCTGCTGGATGGTCATTTGCAAACAAAACAACAAAAACTTTGAGCTCTGCTGTCAGTTTGAATCCGAAATGCACAACTTAAAGTCCAAATTTGCTTTACCACAGAACAAAAAAAAAAAAAAAAAAGGTTTCAGACAGTAGTAAATACATATTTCTTTATCTTTCAACAGAACAGAAAATAGTTGCTTAATCAGATGACATTCTGCTACCAGAGCAGCATCATCTGGTAGCAGAGTCATAGCAGATAAGCATCTTTGATCAAGATGATGCGTCAGCTGAAAAACAGGAAGTCTACTTTGGAAAACAACAAATAAGGAGATCGGTCCATTATTTGGTGTATTCTATGGTGTAAATACCTTTTTATTTGGATAACAAGATCTGAATAGTTCATGGATCAGAATCTTAATAAAATGGGTAATAAATAAATGTGAAGCTAAAAAGTTGTACAAAGGTTAAATAAAAAGTTATTAGAAAACAAGCAAAAAAGGTTTTTTAGACTCCTAAAGAGTAATATCTGATGTTAAAGGCTTGTTTTCTGTGGATATAAAGGGCTATATGTTTTAATAAAACAAGTGTTGTTATCAGGGACCAATAAAGAAAGTTGTACCCAATTAGCTTTTAAACATAGAAAATACCCATTGGTCTGACATACAGGTCCCATTTCTTTTTGAATACATTTTTATTCTTTCTGCTTGATTTGCCAAGAACAGCTCAAATAGGAGATCAGTCTGTCAGGTATTCTGGTAGCCTTTCCCTACTGTGTGGATTTATCCTCCTCTCTACCAGCTGACTTTAGTCTGATGCAGGTAGAGAAAGACTGATAGCTTCATATAAAGTATCCTGTTATCATTGAAAACAAACATTATGAAGACATTTTAAACCCAGAGGCCAAGAACCTAGCCATACCTTTTCTACTTAGAATATTTAAAAGAAAGTTTTGTTAAAACAGACTTGCTTCCTGGAAGTAAACATTACACATATTCGCTTTCATGCTCTTACAAAACAATTTTCATTTTAATTTTGCACATTTGCCTTCATAAGTGTGACTGTGGCTTTTTAAATACCTTTATACATATTTGCAACAAAGAAAAAGTAGAATATTTTTATGTCATACTTTTTCTAATGCTTCGTGGTTCCCTCTTGCTGTCGCCCATCAAATACACAGGTATTTCCTGTATTGAGACAATGACAAAATATTCAGTAGGTATGTGAGCATATAAATATACACACAAAGAGACAGCTCACCATGACTCAACATACTTTGACAAAGTTTGACGGGAAAATGCCCCTCTTCCCCTGCAGCTCTCCCTGCAGCCATCCTTCGTCCGTGGCCTTGGTGACATTTTTGACCACATCTCCAATCTTCACGGTCAGCTCGTCGCCCATGGAGGCCTCAAAATCGACCAGCACCAGCACCTCTGCAGAGAATGGGGCACAACATTAGAGCCCTTTCACAAAGGCTGGGATAGTTGATGTGTCCCGACACTTCAAGATCAAGACAAACCTCCTGGACTTGAGGCCACATAGACTGTGTGGGATACTTTGAACAGAATTTATAGGTTTCTTTAGAAAAAACTTATGTTTAATAATAGGATTTTCCTGCAGGATTAAAATTATGTTACACCAAATTAGGGAAAGATACAGAAACATGCATGCTCTTATCTCACAATCTTTGAGTTAAGGTTTTACAAACAAACACACAGGGTTATAAAGCTCATGCAATGCGGTGTTGTAGTTTTCATTCACCAGTTTAATGCTAAGGTTTAATTTTCAAGGCATATTAAAGTACCTGTAAGCAGTAATTGTATTGGACAACTATTTAATTCTTTCATTTCTCAACTGTTGCTCTTAGCTTAAGGCTTAAACAGTTCCCCAGCAAACAAGAAAAAAAAAAAAAAGAGAGAATAGCTTATAATCAATATATCACAGGCCACGAGTATATATTTAAAGCTGACTCACCCATGTTTTCTATCGTTCTGTCTCAGATTAAACCGTTTAGTTCCTTCAAGGAGCAGCAAACAAGTGTCTGAGTAAAAGTAGAACTGAAAGGCTGTGGTTCTGTTGTCTAAGAGAAATAGAAGCCAGGGCCCTTCTTCCTCCTCGTCAAACATTAACATTGAGCAAGCTTTCCTGAGGCGAGTCTTAACAAGTCAGCAGCAAGGAGTAGGACGGGTTTCACACAAGACTGTGAGCTGGAGAAGACAGAGATTAAGGCAAACGGGAACAACGGGTTTACAGAAAACACATAAGGGTTTCTTTGTAGATCATAAGAATAGAAACCAGCTGTAGCATCTAAACAAGTTAAATGGTTTACTGTATTTTACTCTTTTATAACCTGCTACTAAAAATATGAACTCAGGAGGAATATCTAAATGTTTATAGTTTTCCTTTTTAAGGAGGTGCTCAAGTAAAAATCTAATACATTTTTTAATGATTCTTACTAATTGACACTACTAAACATTTTTTTTTCCATTATAAACATTATTAGATACCTGCATAAGCCATGTGCTTCCTTCTTTCATTTTTGCAGTGTACAGATGAGTCAGTCAAGTTCTTATCTTTACCAAGATTGGGAATACTTCATTTTTATAATATCTGTAAAACTGACCAGTCAGAAAACAAAGGACTGTTTCTATAAGGGAAATTGTTGCCACTTTAAATGAAAGCTGCCAGACTTGGCTTTTATAGAGCTAGTGTTCACACCTGCTAATGAGAAATTAATCAAGCAGTTCAATCAACAGCACCTGGTCACTGTTTTTTTCTTATTGTCAATGTGAGATAATCAGATTTGACCTTTAAAATGGTAATTGTGTGTTTCTCCAAGATCATTGAAAATGGATTTAATATTGTCATTCAACACAGCCAGAGTCAATGTATTTCCTAGATTCTTGTGAAAAGAATAATTACATGGTTAAGTTTTACATTTTAGAATAGCGACAATCATGAGAGAGGGTAGTATTTTGTTAATCAGCTGTGCTAAGGGTTAATACACATAAAAGGTTGACCAACACCGAGTCGTAAAATTTAAAAACAAGCACAAAGCATAAAAATGATCTCAAGAAAAAAAAAAATAAAAATAAAAATCAGTGGCAGGGAAGTCCTCAATTTCAATTTTAAAGTCAGAGCAAAAATTTATATAGTACATTTCAGAAGACATATTGTTGCAAAGTAGCAGATCAGAGAAATAATGACCTGACGTCCAATGTAGGGATTTATAACCTATTTTCAAATAAGGAAAACTCTGGCAGAATTTTGATGAAATTATTATTTTTTTCCAGTTTCAGTCGGCGTTATTAAATGTATGCAGACATCCATGAACACATTCCTCCTAGCAGCAATAATCTGAATAGTTTATTTAGAATTGGGATGGCCTGCAGTAGTTGTACTAGTCTTCCTATTTATTCTACATAGCCTCTTTTTCTCAAGTCTAATTTACCTTCACAACAGTTATGTGAAAGCAAATTTCTGACAGTTATATCTGTCAGAAATTTGCTTTACAGAGAAATTCAATTCAATTCTTTAGCTTAAGCTTAATATTGGAAATAAACACACATATGATTGCCTTTTGGTGGGAAAGGGAACTGGGATATTAGAAGAAAAATCCCAAAGTTGACTCTCTTTCTGCACAAAAAACACATAAGAACCAGTCACTGAAATTAAACTTTGGGTCAATTTAGACCAAAGGTCATGAACAACACATTCATTGATCAGAAGCATTACTCATATTATGTCAACAGGAACAAGGAAACTATTGCAGTCTCCTGTGATTATTGCCCTGTTTGTTGTATTGGAGTGTTTGCTTCTAAATGTTAGACTGATAACTAATCATGTTTCTTACAAACTTAATCACAACACATTTCTAGTTAATAAAGAAATTATCCTGATATAGGCCTAGTCAAAGTATTTACTTGCTCTTGTTTTCTTCAACACTGCTTCTAGTTTTCAAATGTCTTATTGGATGTGATAAATTGTTCATATTTTTCTATTAAGCTATATTTCTATAATGAGAAAGGACCCAATAGTCCTTACTTTGGTAAATAAAAATAATATGTGGAATATATTAACTCTATGTTACACCTGTTCCATCTTTCATGCCAAATCGTTGAATATACAACCCACAGTGAGATTATCAGTTATCTATGTCACAGTTTGTTTGGAGGTTTTTAAGAGGACCCAAATGCAGAGGCTGACACGCAGGGGTGAGTTCTTTAAAGATTTAATGAAAGATAAGGCAGCAAAAACGGGAATCCAAAAAAAATCCAACTTAAAAATGTTAAACAAAAACAGGTATCCAAAAATCCAACATAAAAATAAAACACAAACCAGAACCATGGAGACATCAAGGGAACCAGCCAAGAGGGACTGCAGAGGGAGTGTATTTATGGCTGACTGAAGAAAGACAGGACTAACGAGCTGATAAGGAGCAGGTGTGACTAGAGCTGATGAAGAAGCCAAGGGAAAAGAAAACACAAGGGGGCAACAGAGGACAGACAAAGAAAAACCTAAGAAACTTAAATGAATCCAGACACACCAATAAAGCTAGAAAACAAGGAAAATACTGGATGAACTTGAAACTGAAAACTTTGAGAAAAACAACAGAACCAAGATTGTTACAATCTAATGAATTAAGTTTAGAGGGGACCACTTTTAGTCTTACCTGAGAGGGATTGTTCAGGAAATGTGGCTGATAGAAATATAACAGTACTGTTACAGCTACTGTATTAGGCGGATGTGCTGAGCTAAAATTTATTGGTTTTCCCCCAAAGAGCCTTCTCAAAGTGGAAACTAATCTAAAATCACCAAAAACCTTGGAGTATAGTTCATTAATTCTACAAAACTCTTCCCATTTGAAGAATTTTAAATTTGAATGACAAAGGCTTTGTTTCAAAAAAACACATACATGTGTGTCCTTTCAGCTGCTCCCATATTAAGGGATGGCCACGGTGTAATAAAGGCTGTTGCCCCTAGAGAGCGCTAATGCATTGGGGGCTTATTCACAGTTCTTTTATTTATAATAATTTAACTTTATTGATCTTATACTGGAGAAATTTACCTCTGCATTTAACCCATCCTCTTGAGGAGTACTGTGCGTTGCCCGGGAAGCAGTGTGGGGTTAAGGGTGTGACGATTTAATGGTCTCCTCTTGCGTGATAAAAAAGTCGTTGACATATCAAAAGTGGCGCATGAGGAAAGTTACTGTATTTTCATTATTATTAATATTATCTAAATAGGCAATTATATATATGTAGTTTGCCCCGTATTATCCTATTATTTTCTTCTAACCTTATGAATCAGAAATTAAGATGATTACTTTTATCATAACAAAAGCGACCTCTGCTACAACTATCTGACTTCTGAGGGACATTAAATTAAAAAAACAGAATTAACTGTATACATTAACTAATAACGCATGGAGAATTATACAAATATGTTATATTTAACAGCCTAGGTATTTTAACAAGTCTTTTTTAATGAAAGATGAAGATTATTTCTAACAGCAAGTCATTATGACTAGCTTGTCTTAGCAATGTTTTTACACCAGATGCACCATAGAGAAAGTTAACAAATACTGTTAATAAGACACATCAGCACAATCCTTTATGTCATTTTAATTTAGAACTGCAGAGAAAAAGAAAAACACAATGGAAACCAGAAGAAACCGCAACATTATTTAACAAGATCATCTTTAACCAATGAATCTGTCATCTGAACAATTGGCATTTGAATTTTATCCTAAGCTTAACAAAAAAAGACAATCCACAAGATCTAACACATTCATTCAAACTCTGTATCTTTTCTGTTTATTACAAACTAAATACACAAAAAAATTAACCTTATCTTTGACTGAGCAAAGCTAAAATAATGTACATATCTAGACACATTTAAAATGAATACAAATCCACAACCCAGAGAAATGTATCTAAGACTAAAGTATTGAAAACATTTGCATCATAATCAAAAGCCACTCTTCTTAGCAGAACAACTACAAATAATCTTATCCATGTTCTAAATTTCTAGCACTTGAGATGAACAAAAATGAACTTTAAAGAATATCGGACAGCATACATCTTCGTACTCCAAGACAGTGCTGGTGTGAGCTGGCTGGATGTTGTGTAAAGACACTTAAAACTCTTAAAACTTCAGCACTGCACGGTTTGGTCCCAGTGTCAGATCAGGATCACATGTTGTTTATCTAGTTAGTTTAATTCTATATCATAATAACAGTAGACAGTACTTTCTGCAGTGATCGAGATCTAGATGAGACAGCGTTGTTTTCTTCTATAGATGCTCACAAAACAGATTCCCATTTTAATCTGCAGGCATTGCTGTATTTTCTCAAAAAAAGTTAACTGTAACTTTCACAAAGATTTGTCTGATTGAATTGTGCGAGCAACAAAAAGCAGTTAACAGACAGTTAACATGCCTGAATAAAAAAAAAAATGAGTAAAAATCTTGCATGAAAGATGTCACACAAAAAATGTAACATTTAAATGTAATATTTATTAAAAAGAAATAGCTCCAACCAGTGCTACTATTAGTCACAATATGTAACCTGATATAAGAGAGGGTGAATATATACTGTAATGTGAAAAAAAAGGCATCCTACACTGATCATATATTCTAATCAGCGTCAATTGATCCATTCTGTCTGAAAATTTCTCTTCAACTGATTTCTGCATTGTTCAGGTGGTTTGTCCATTGATTTCTTCCACTTTGTGGTCCTGATCAGCCTCCTTATCAACAGCCCATTTGGAGATGTTTGCATTGCCTGTGGCTTTGCGGATGATAAATCGTGTCCTTCCAGGAGGAAGGTTTCCCCGACCCTGCCCTTGGTTTTGTATCCATGTAGACTCATGGTCTCTGTCATCATGCTACAAAGGTAAGAAAACAAAGAAGATACTTAAAAGAAGTATGAGGGATGGAAATAGTGAAAAGACTGAACTAGGAAACAGAGAAACCCTTACTAAGAAGTATGTTTTGTTCCTTGGACTAAACTTTGGTTCCCAGGCTTCATTTTTGGTGTTTGCTGCTGTGTTTACTTCTTCACTGTGCGAGCTGTTTCCTTGATGGCTGCCTTTGTTCCAGCTGCTTCTTTGGATTTGAATTTTCTGAAGCTAAATA